GAGTGAAGGGCTACACACTGTCCTAGGACCGGGGACCTCCAAGGCTGCCTCCTGATTGATATTTGGGAGACAGGGAGAGAGACCACTACTCCAGATGGCCAGGCCTCCACCTGGAGCGAAGACCCGGGGAGAAGAAGGGCGGGGTGCACCAAGCAGGCAGGGGGCACAGGCCAATGCTGGACACGGGGATTTCACAAGACCCCTCCAGGCTGCCATGCGGAGGAAGTGGAGCCCCTCCACCAGGGGATGGCGCCTATTTCCATCAGCAGCTCCTTCCCACCTCCCTCACACATCCCACGCTCTCAGCCAGACACAGGAACGTGAGGCAGAGAAGGGTGGTCGCCTGTGCCCCTGCAGGGGGCTCCAAGCAGAAAAAAACATGGAAACCAGTTACTATGAAGCGCATGTGTCAACTGGAGCTGCAGCCACTGTCTCCAGGGGTCGGAGAGGAGGCTGCTCCACCCCTATTGCCTGGCACCTCTAGCAGCTTCAGACGACTCCCCTCCCCTCTCTGGAGGAAGGCCCCAAGGTTCAAGAAAACCCAACAGCTCCTGCCACTGTGTCCTTTCTGGGGTAGGAAACTGTGGGGAGGGGAGGCAGAAAATGACCAGTCCTTCCACAACCGCTGTGAGCCAAGCCTGGGCTGGGCACCGGGACCCCAAGATGAAAGAAGCCCTGTCTTATGTCAGTGGGGTCTGGAGAAGGACACTGTCAGGGAAATACATCCAGAGGATCCCACAGTGACCCGTCTGCCTCTGCTCTGCCCCATAGGCTCTATCCGGGAGCAAGAGCTCCCCTCTTTTAAAGACCCCAGGCAAGATGATTTCAGAGAAGCACTCCTGGGACTCAGAACTCGGGAGGAAAGTGCACCTTGAGGCATGCACCTCGGCTCCTTCCTGCTGCCTGCCAAGTCCATGGTTCCCCTGTTCACAGAAACCACTGCCCCCAGCCCCTACCTCTGCTGCCCATCAGAGGCCTCTCAGCCTGGATCCAAGGCTTCAAAGCAGAGTCACCCTTGACCTTCCCTTGCCTACCTGCAACCCACTCTACAGAAAGGTAAACAGGCTGGTGGGGGCAGAAGCTTGCTCGGATCCCCCTCACTTGGAGGGGGACAGCCTGTCCCTCCACAGCTCTGGGTTGGGGGGAAGGGGCAAGCTTCGTGTTACTGTGCCTGCAGCCTGGCACCTTGGCCTCTGAACCCAAGCGACCTGGGGTGGCCATGACTCAGAGTTGGAGTATGAGACCGTCTCCTCCCTTTCTGTTGCCCAGAGTTACAGTTTCTCCCTCCTGCAGGGGCAATGCCAGCCGCACCATGGCTGGGTCACCAGCCTCGCTCAGTCAGCCACCTGGGCCGCTGGCTTAAAGACACAGATCTTTGCTGCACCTCTACAAATTCCAAGGGGGAGAGGATTATTGCCAGTGGCCCCACACCCCCATACAAGATCCCAGGCCCAGAGCATCCCTCCAGATAGGGTCAGGAAGGAATGGAACCTACTTTTGGCACAAATTAGATATAAATAAAATAAATATGTGTAAATACAAGTACTTTTTGCAAACACACTGGCAGAAGAGCTGAGCAGAAAGAACTGTGGATGTGAATTTCAGCTCTAAGGGAGATGAGCCACATTGCCTACCTGAGCCTTCATTTGTGGGGTGCATCGCTTACAGGAGTGAACACACCTACTTTGTGAGGCTGCTGTGAAGACTGAGCCCAGCATATTGCAATAAGTAGTAGCTATTATGAATGGATGGTCACAGGATGATGGTGGGGTACTCTAAGCTTAGCAAAACGGGGCACCAAGCTGGAGGACTTCACTCCCTTCAAGTGGGGAGGGAGCACTCAGACAAGCAGAGGCACAGAGCCCGCCCTAATGTGAGATTCCAGGGGAAATGGCAGCAGACCAATCCTCTACCCCTCCACCTGCTTTCATAAACCTGGGGAAGCAAGCCAGGAAAGAGGGACGTGGCAAGATTCTTGACAACACAGCTCCCGAGATACAAAGCAGGTGCACCAAGTAGGTGTTCAATAAATATTTGTTGAATGAGCAAATGAGGTCACCCTGTTTCTCCCCCAGCTCTAATCCCAGAAGTCCTCTGGGGAAGCAAATCTCGACCTCCTTCCTCAAACACTGTCATCAGCAATACATATTTATCCAGTTTGCAAAGCACACTGGGTACTGCAGGTTGGGGGCAGGGTGGCCTTCAGAGGTGACAAGGTTTTTACCCACCTATGCCTTTGGGAGATAAGGCTCAGGGAGAAGAAAAGGCTGAAACCAAGGACGCAGCCTGTGTTTTGGGCCATGTAGTGGGCTAAGTGCCTTGGGGATAGTAGAGAAATGGGTGAGTCTAATTTGATTGTTTTGCTATAAATGAGAGGCCTTTGGAAGTTGGTTAGCAACTATGGGACTGAAGATTCCCCCTCCTTCCTGTTCTCAGTTCAGCATCCTCCAGGCACTGTCTCCCCATTCCCGGTGCCTATTCCTTATTTTTTTTTTTTTTTTTTTTTTTGAGACGGAGCTTTGCTCTTGTTGCCCAGGCTGTAGCGTGATGGCGTGATCTGGCTCACTGCAACCTCCGCCTCCCAGGTTCAAGCAATTCTCCTGCCTCAGCCTCCCGAATAGCTTGGATTACAGGTGTGTGCCACCCTGCCTGGCTAATTTTGTATTTTCAGTAGAGAAGGGTTTCTCCATGTTGGCCAGGCTGGTCTTGAACTCTCAAACTCAGGTGATCAGCCCACCTCAGCCTCCCAAAGTGCTGGGATTATAGGTGTGAGCCACTGCACCCAGCTTTCTTTTTTCTTTTTTTTTTTTGTTTTTGAGACGGAGTTTTACTCTTGTTGCTCAGGCTGGAGTTCAATGGCATGATCCATCTCAGCTCACTGCAACCTCTGCCTGCCAGATTCAAGCAATTCTCCTGCCTAAGCCACCCAAGTAGCTGGGATTACAGGGATGTGCCATCACACCCGGCTAATTTTGTATTTTTGGTAGAGACAGGGTTTCACCATGTTGGTCAGGCTCATCTCCTGACCTCCGTGATCCGCCCACCTCAGCCTCTCAAAGTGCTGGAATTACAGGTGTGAGTCACCTCGCCTGGCCTCCTGTTGCCTATTCTTACTGCCTGGAGCAGTGGGGAGGAATAGGTCTGATACCTGGATATTTCAGGCCTCCTGCTCAGTACAGGGGGCAAGGTCTCTCCAGGGCCACTTCCTGTACAGAGAGTTCTAAAAAGAGGGAGGAATTGCCAACTCCCACTTCCCTGGGCACCCCCACTTGAACGTCCTCTTCTAGCTAGGGTAAGAGAGCTGGGGAGGGCATCTTGCAGCATCCCTGCCTGCTCCCCTCCGCTCTGATACACAGCACTTAAGGTCTTTACAAGGGGAGTGGTGTGGAGCTGAACAGAGCATCCCAGAAAGGTAGGGAGGGCATAGTCTATACGACACCCTCTTTAGCACTCAGGCACATTAGTGCACTGCCCCACCTTGAAGGAAATGACATCATCATACCCATCTGACAGATGGTGAACACTGAGGCCTACAGCCGTTCATAAAACTGGTGGGTGCAGACCTGGAACAAAGACCCAGTCTCCCAACTCCTTGGGTGGCAATCCTGCCTTCATGTATTGCTTTTTCCTTATATAGGCGAAGTGCCCACTGCCTCTTCCCAATTCATGACTGTGGAGAAGAAGGGGACAACAGGGAACTCAAGATGCAGAGGCTGAAATCTCTGCCACCAGGGAAGGGCCAGGTCCCAGTGTGCAAGGACAGGTAGGTTCTCAAGGGGAGACAGCATCTGATAGCTCTAAGTCCAAGTCCTGCGCAGCACCGGCTGGCATGGTCATAGGCAGATCAGCACCTTTCCTTGTGCCCACAATATTGCTCCTCCTCTCCTCCTGCCCAATCAAGCCCAGGACCAGGGACGGTGACACAGCAGCGGCCCCATATGCCCACACACCCCAAGAGCAAGCTCAAATGTGTTTCAGAACCTCCAGCCCCACCTCCTCACCCTGACTCAGAGGCCAAAGGTCTGAGGAAGCTCACACCCCAAGGGGGAGGGGAGAGACAAAGTGTCCAATGAACTATTCTTCCTGAACAAAACCCAGCTCCAGATCAGCAATGAACTTGGCCCCAGGGCACCCCTGGGGCACCCCTCTTCCATCCATTGCCCCCATCCCTGCACCCCTTTTCCATCCAGTCCCCCCAGCCTTCCCAGTTCAGATGGAAAGGACAGAATATCTGGACTTGGAGCCAGCTTTGGGTGGTGGATGAAAGGCACGGTGAGGAAGGGGGCAAAATCACAGAGCCCCCCTCCTCCCCCCGCCCAGACTGGGGAGAGGATGTAGAGGGGCAGGTTTTCCGTTAGGAGCTTACGAGAAGACAGGGTCCTACCTCAAACTGTACCGGAAACACCCAGTTCTACTCTCCCACCCCCCTCCAAAAGTCTAATGGCAACCAGATGAACAAGTCCAGCATGGGGGAGACAGGGCCCCCAGGGGACAGTGAATCTCCACAAGGCCACCTTCCCCTCCCCCCATACCTCCCCTTTCCCTCGGTTTCCCCAGAACTCAGCCAACCCCACCCTCCACGGGAGAAACCTGCTTTGAAAAGTTAGCTCTTTGTTCTACCACACGGTCTCCTAGCTCTGAGCACAATTTCAGGAGATCTCGGCGAAGCACCCCCCATCCACCCTACTCCAGCACCCGACCCCGCCTGGCTCAGGCTGGGCGGCCCAGCACCGGGAGTTGGCTTTTAATTGGAAGTGGGGGTTGGGAATCTATGGAGGAGGTCTGCGAGTCCTTTAACCACTAAATCACCTAGGGGGCTGCAGGTCGTTCTAAAGCGGGGGAGCTTGCAGGGGGGAGCCGGGGTCCTTACCGGAAACCCCCCGCATCAGATGCAGCACTCGCAGGCTGATAGCCCCCGCCCCCAGGCCAGGAAGCCAGGCCATCCCCCGCCGAAGCGGACGGTTTCGCAGGGCCCCCCAGCCTCTGCCCCGCCCCCCCGCCCCCTCCACCAGCGCCCGGCGCTTCCGCCTACTTGGCGCTCGGCGCGGAGCGGCGAGGGAGCGGCCGTCTCTTCTCACTCTCCAGGCCCTAGGGGGCGGGACTGCACCCCTCACCTACCCCCAACACAGCCCGGGGCCTGGCTTCCCTGCTCCTCTCCCGTCCTCCAAACCCTGGGGCACAGAGCCCACCCCTCTCCAGCAGCGGCTGCCCGCTACGCGTGGACTCCCCGCCTCGCCCCAGATCTCCGGGTTTCCAGACTGGGATGTGTCCCCACACCCCATGACACCGCCAGCTCGTCCTCCCTCCATTCTCCTGGGATCGCGGGAATAAGGCGGCAAAGACGCGGCCCTTCCCTCCTCCCTGGATTGGGAGCACTGCCGGGGATTGCAAAAACGCGTCTCCCGGTCCCGGGCTCACCTTATCCAGACAGTTCACCTTCTCCGTGGGATACACGATCTTGCCGCACCGGGCGCAGTTGGGGTTCATGTCTCCGGGAAAGGCTGGGGCGGGAACGCCCGAGCTCGGGAGCGTCCTCTTCCCCGAGGCGAGCTGGCAGGAGGCGGCCGCGGCTGCAACTACACAGGCGGGAGCGACGGCGGCTGGAGCTGGGGAACTGGCCTCCGCCTCCGCCCTCCTTCCCCTAATAAACACAGCGGGGAGGAGGGGCTGCACCGGGGCGGGCACGCGCCTCGGGCGCGGGCAAGGGCGCGCGCAGCGAGGCGCGCTCCCTGGGCGACGTGGGGCTGCGCGGGGGCAGGTTCCGGGGAGGTCCGCGGGGCACGGGGTGCTGGCGCCCCAGGGCTCCCAGGCGAACTGCGCCCAGCGCCCAGGGCCTTTCCCGAGCCTGGGACGGCGCAGAGCCCGGCGGGCTGCACATCTGGGGCGCCGGGGCTGCGGGAGGCGGGTAACCCCTCAAGCCCGTCCAGGGTGGGGTTGGAGCCCTTCTGAACGCCCGAGCTGATTCACCACCTTCAGGGACTTTCCTCTCTACCCGTGGATACCTGGCGTGAATCTGGGGACCGAACGGAGACCCCCCGCCCTGTCCCTCTTAGCCCCCTTCCGGCCCACACCCTTTCCCACGTTTGTGGGGCGGAACCTGTCCCTCCCTCTTGGACTCCGCTCTGCTGAGCCCGGGCTGTGCTTCCCTCCTCGAGCCCATGCAGTGCACCTTCCCGGGGTTCCCGGATGCGGGCACTGTCTGCGTTCAGCCTGATCCCTTTTCTCCTGCATTCCTTCCTCCTTATGTTACTACCTTCTCACAGTGTAGCAGCTCCAACAATGCTTAGCACTCAAAAGAGCCGCCTCCAGACGCAGGAGCAGGGCGGGGGTATAGCTCAGTGGTAGAGCATTTGACTGCAGATCAAGAGGTCCCTGGTTCAAATCCGGGTGCCCCCTCGGTGGCTTTTCCACCTATTCTTGATTCATATTTTAACATTGAGTCCTAGACTAAAAGAAAAATGAAAAAAGTCTCGTCCTCATTTTTCAAGCTTAGTAGAAAGCTTTCGGTTTTACTTTGTGCTCAGCGGGAGGAGGAGAGTGTGGGTATAAAAGCTGAGCGACCCCATTACTCGCTCCAGGGGTGTAGGGATTTCTGCGGCCACGAACGCCAGCCTCAGATGAGTCAGACAGTTCCAGGCGCCGGGTTTGAGGGACAGGATGTTTCCAATGGGGGTAGGGAGACAGGAGAACGCCTCAAGTTGGCTTTCCTTTTGGGGGTGGAGGGTAGGTCAAGTGAGGAAAACCCACAGACACAGCCCTTCTCCAACTTCAACTTTCTATGTTAATAGTGACATGGACGTGCTGTGTTCATCCTTGACTATTAATGTACAAAAGTAAAGTTATATCCCAATGCAAACTGAGATAAACGAACACGATGTTTCTCAAACTTGAGCGTGCATCACAATTGCCTGCAGAGCTTATCAAAAACACTCCTAGTTTCTGATTCTATAAGGGGTCCCCGATAATTTGCATTTCTACCAAGTTCCCAGGTGCCGCTGGTGCTGCTGGTGTGGGGACCACATTTTAAGAACCACTGAAGTGAAAATAAAAGGCCATGGGTTTTCATAACCTAAAGATGGGGACAAGTATCTGCTGGCGGCGTGCCTAACAGTGTCACTGTAGGGCAGGAGGAAAATGGTAAGTGTGACTGGAGACAAGGGCATCGCCCTCGACTAGATTTTGCCCAAAAAAAGGAAAAATAAAGGAGAGAGGAAGAGCCGTGCTGCCTGGGTCAAAGGGCAGCTGCGATATTTTAAACCGGAATGTGGTTGTGTCATCCCTCGGACCCCGGGAACCGCGCATTTTTTTCTCACGGCTCGCAGGACTGTGTGAGCTGCTTCGCTAGGCTGGACAGAGAGACCACAAATCAGTAAAGCTGCGGTTCCGTGCAAAAGCCAGGAGGAACCACTTTTACCTCTTCTTTAGGCCTCGAACTTTCCATCTATATCTTATCAAGCCAAAGCCCTGCCTTTGAGCTAAGTAAAGAAGGAAGAGGGGAAAACCTCGCTGTTTAGCTTCTACTTTTTGTCTTGTTTGTTTTCTGAGAGGTAGTCTTGCTGTGTCACCTAGGCTGGGGCAATCTCGGCTCACTGCAACCTCTGCGTCCTGGGTCAAGCGATTCTCCTGCCTCAGCCTCCCGAGTAGCTGAGATTACATGCAACTGTTAGCCCGGCCAATTTTTTGTATTTTCATTAGAGACGGGGATTCACCATTTTAGCCAGGCTGGTCTCGAACTCCTGACCTTGTGATCCGCCCGCCTCGGCCCTAAGTGCTGGGATTACATGCATGAGCCACGGCGCCTTCTAGAGGTGCCCTGTCCTGTTCGAGTTCGCCAGTATATGAAGACCTCTGCATTTGGATTCCTTCTCCTAGTCTTCATAGTCAAGTAAGAACTAGCCCCGCCCACGACGCGACATTTTTTTGCCCCAAAACAAATTATAATTAACATTAAACCAGTGGGCCTCGGAGATGGGAATCGATGCTCGCCTTTGTTCTACAACTGGGATTTCAAGAGCGCTTCTCGCCACTTGGGGTATGCGGGCTCAGATCCACCTCAAAGCAACCTCTGGTTGCTGCTCTCTCCTCGGGTACGGGAATCCTTTAGAAGGTGAATGAAAATTAGGTAGGTGGAAGAGACAAAGGACACCTCCCGTGGGTTTTGTATTCAGTACTCGCTAACTCAGGTTACTCCTAGATGGCTGTGAAAAAAGCACAAGGAAAACCGAGGGGGCACCCGGATTTGAACCGGGGACCTCTTGATCTGCAGTCAAATGCTCTACCACTGAGCTATACCCCCTCTGTCGGTGACTTGCTCGCAAAATCCTTTTACATCCATCAATCCCAAAATTTTCACACTCGTTCAAAATCAGTGTCTTTTTGTTACATGATACTGACATTAGCAGTGAAGAAGGAGAAATTAAAAGGCTAGGCAAAGACATGGCGGCAGTTTGAAAGCATGTGAATTTAGGTGCCAATCTGCTTTTTCTAGGTTCAGGTTTTTTGTTTGTTTGTTTCTTTCATTTTATGTAGGTAGCCACGCATGGGGGGTGAAGGAGGCCGTCTCCCTATGCTGCCCAGACTGCTCTGCTCTGGAACTCCTGGACTCAAGTAATGTTCCATCTCTGGCCTCCCAATGCTAGGCTCGATTCTTTCTTTTTTTTTTTTTTTTTTTTTCCATAAATACAGTGTTGTTGTTGTTGTTGTTTTTCCATAAATACAGTGCAGCTAGGCTCAATTCTTTATCCACAATCCTACTCATCTCTGTCCGCTAACAAGAGAGCAACCTCCTGCAAAAGTGAATAGAGGGCTTGGGCGGTGGCTCAGGCCTGTAATCCCAGCACTTTGGGAGGCCCAGGTGGGCTGATCACCTGACCTCAGGAGTTTGAGACCAGCCTAGCCAACATGGTGAAACCCTTCTCTACTAAAAAATACAAAGATTCACAAGGCATGGTGGTGGGCACCTGTAATCACAGCTACTCGAGAGGATGAAGCAGAAGAATTGCTTGAACCCAGGAGACGGAGGTTCCAGTGAGCCGACACGGTGCCACTGCACTCCAGCCTGAGCGACAAAGTAAGATTCCCTCTCAAGAAAAGAAAAAAGAGGCCGGGCCCAGTGGTTCACCCCTGTAATCTTAGCACTTTGGGAGGCTGAGACGGGCAGATCACCTGAGGTCTGGAGTTCAAGACCAGCCCTACCAACATAAGGAAACCCCATCTCTTAAAAAAAAGAAAATTCCAATGTCCCTAGCCACAAGGGACCAGTTCCACTGAAAAGTGAACAATGGGAACTCAAAATTTCAGAAACATGGGGGAAAGGGAAAATTGGCTTTCTGTTAATTGGCAGATGTTCCAATGGGGCTGTGTTTTTGTTGGGATGTGTTATGTTGTATGTACTCATGGATCAGAGTCTGCTGAGTTTATAAGGTTCAAAAAACATGGTAAAATCTTGATTTTTGTTAATTTATCTCAATAAAAGCCACTGGAACTCCAAAAAAAAAAGAAAGAAAAAAGATAAAGTCCTAGGATCAAGGTAAAAAACAAAGAAAGAAAGGAAGAAGGAAAGAAAGAAAGAAGGAAGGAAGGAAAAGAAAAAGGCTGGGCAAGGTGGCTCAAGCCTGTAATTCTAGCACTTTGGGAGGCCAAGGGGGGTGAATCACTTGAGGTCAGGAGTTTGAAACTTGGCCATTGGCCATCATGGTGAAACCCCAACTCTACTAAAAATACAAAAAACTGTCTCAAAAAAAAAAAAAAGAGAGAGAAGCTTTTCCCTTGGTCTCTCCAAAAATACGAACACCAGCTTAAAACACACCTCCACCAGTGGGGCATGGTGGCTGATGCCTGTAATCCTAGGGCAGGCAGATCACTTGAGGTCAGGAGTTCGAAACCAGCTTGGCCATCATGGTGAAACCCCGTCTCTACTAAATAATACAAAGGGCATGGTGGTGCGCACCTGAATCCCAGCTACTTGGGAGGCTGAGGCAGGGGAATTGCTTGAACCTGGGAGGCAGAAGCTGCAGCAAGCCAAGATCGTGCCACCGCACTCTATCTTGGGAAAGAAAGGAAGAAAAGGAAAGAAAGAAAGAAAAGAAGGAAAGAAGGAAATCCCATCTCTACTAAAAATACAAAAAAGTAGCCGGGCATGGTATGGGTGCCTGTAATCCTAGCTACTAGGGATTCTGAGGCAGGAGAATCACTTGAACCCAAGAGGTACAGTTTGCAGTGAGCTGAGGTTGCACCATTGCACTCCTGCCTGGGCAACAAGAGTGAAACTCTGTTTAAAATTAAAAAGAAAGCACACACCTCCACCAAGAGGCCTTCCTGGCTATATACCCTAGTGATCCCCCTCTAGTAGAGCAATTTCTCTCTAGGTAAAGGACATAGGGTACCGTACTTTTTTTTTTTTTAGATGGAGTCTCGCTCTGTAGCCAGGCTGGAGTGCAATGGCGTGATCTCGGCTCACTGCAACCTCCAACTCCTGGGTTCCAGCAATTCTCCTGCCTCAGCCTCCTAAGTAGCTGAGATTACAGGCACCTACCATCACGACCGCCTAATTTTTGTATTTTTAGTAGAGACGGGGTTTCACCATGTTGGCCAGGCTGGTCTGGAACTCCTGACCTCAGGTGATCCACCGCGCCAAGCAGAGAGTACTTTCAACAAAAAGAGACAAAAGTTCTCACTCTTACTGAGTTCATAGTCTACTGGAAACAGACTAAAAATAAATGCAGAAACGAATAAATGAGGAAATGCCTGGTAAGCAAATCATTAAAACAAAAAAGATGAGTTACAGAAGTACTAAGGGGCTATTCCAAGTCGG